ACCAGGCAAAGAGGTTGCAGGAGCAAAGAGAATGGATGCGATCCTATGAACAGCTGAAGGCTTGGGAGGAAATCGTGATTAGCTCCGATGATGAAGAAGAACTGTTGAGACAGTTTGCTGTATCAAGTACTTCAGGGTGTGGCACCTCCAAGCCGAAGAGTGCGAGATGAGTGGATGGTTCGAATGGATCTTGAGTCTTGAGAGGGAAGGGGGGCTTGAGTGTGGATCCGGGTGAAACCTGGGTTCACAGAAAAAGAAATTTTAACGAATCAAATATTGTTATTAATATACTATATTTACTATATAAATCAAAATGCTGCATGACAATTTCCTGATTGAATGGGACAAAAGAAGTTTTAAATGATTGGCTTAAAAAGCAAGAATTCAAGGGTGCAGGTGTGTGCAGATTTTGATTGCTGTTTAGCGATAGTGTGAAAATTTTACATGGCCGTGAATTTTGGGGTGTAGATAAACTTAAGTCTGCTGCGAACTTCTGTAAATGACCACTGGCACTGTACCTTGAGCAACACTTGATTTTCTGGGACTCACTGGCAGACGACAGCACGCAATGAGGACATCGATCTCGAGTCCGGGGAGTATGTGCCAGTCGGTCATATTTGGAAGTTTGACCTTGAGAGAAGCAAAAAACACTTAATTTTGGGGTGAAATTTAATTTTTCAAAAATTCGAATGGAGCCTGTCATGCACGATTTTCTCGCGATAACTGAAAGTCAAAAAAGAGAAGTCAGAACAATCGAGTGACAATCGCGGGAAAGTTGCAGGATAAATCAGTAGGAAATTGCTATTCGCAATTTCCGTCACAGTAATAATCTAGAGTAGAGCTGTCCCATTCGAAACAGAAAGAAGCGTATTCCCACGAACTGGATTATTGTGACTTGACTGGAGTATTATTCTAAGCTGGACTAGAGTGAACCTTCGGTGGAAAGGTGGACAGCTTGAGTGTCCCAATGGTTCACGAGAAACTATAGTCCAGAGTACAAACTTGTTCTTGTTGTTAAAACTGACACACATTAAACTCATTTTAGTTACATTATTTAATTCTCGAGTTAATTACCGACTGAAGTACTTCCATTTCTTGAGCGTGCTACAATGTGAGTACTAATTTAAATTTCTAGAGTGTGTTTTATAATTGTTATGTTGAGGTAAGGCGAGTTTTAGGTTGATCCATCTGAAATGGATCAAAGTTCCACTGTCTAATAAAAAATAACTTAACGGATTGTTCCAACCCGGTTTTTAACGGCGTTCATGTATTTTGGGTATCTAGAGACCTAAGTATGAGGACGTTCTTAATTCTAGAGTGGGGGGATATTTTATTAGTAGCCTTTAAGCTGTAACGGGTCGTAGTCTCATGTCACAAACGAACCGAATTGGCTCCGACTGATTTGAGGTAGAAAAACACTAGAGATAGTGTCCCTGACTCTTGAGCCAATAGTTATAGGGCCTATTTTTCTTAAGCCTCATGTGTGACTGCAGTAGACGAATGTTACATAGTGTTTTTATGGCGCTCCTGCGTGTTTACGGCATCAAGACTACGGAGTCGAACCCACTTGAGACAGCTTCGGGCTGAATGCCCATTCTAGAGTACCGGCGGTGCGGTTCGACAGGAACGTGCAAACCTTCCGGTTGTACCGTGATAGCTTTTTAAGAAAACTCGAGAAAACTTCCTGGTACGCTCTCCGAACGAGGCTTAGCTAACCGAGTAAAGGGGGGCAACTAGGGGGACAAAAACACGAGCAAAAAGACAAAAAGCAAAACAAAAACAAAAAAAAGACTAGAAAAAGGAACAAAAACCATAAAACGAAAAAAGACAGTGACTTTGACACCAGATTAGTTGGATCAAACCTTTATAATAATTAAATAGTATACCCATACTGTTTTACAAGTTCGATCGTTTCGATCAACCTAGTAATTTAACCCAGTAACCTTAATAAAGAGCCCGAGTGTATGTCAAATGTTTTCTGTTTTTTTCCTATCAGTTCATAAAAATATTATAACATCATTAGATACACATAGTTACAATAACAATAAACAAAACAAACTCGATTACAATTATCGATGATTACTTTTCACCTGAGAGCTTCAAGATGGTTGGTAAATAAATGTTATTATATAAACTTGAAGCTTTTCCATGAAACTTTACCATGAGTTGCCACAGAGGGGTCTTCTTTAAATAATAATAAATAATAATTTTTGAATTTTATCTTTGCTTTTCTGTATGTTACTATGTCTTTAAAGTTGACTTTATCATCTGTTAGTTTGTTCCAGATTATGACGGACTTTTTAAAGAAGGAATTTTCTATGTATTGCCCATCGTATCTGTCGCCGAAATATAATTTTTTTTTTCTTGTATTAATGTCTATTTGGTGGTTATCATACTCAATGTTATAATAGGCTGGCAATAATTGATGTTGTATTTTCCAAAAATGACATAATATTTTATAGTCCAAAAACATTGTTACTGGTAATATATTGTGTTTTAGCTTCAAGTCTGAAGATGAGTTGTATTTTGCACGATCGCAGCAACTTTTTACTGCCCAGCTTAATTGTTTTTCCAGAGATATCATTAGGTTAGCGGATATTCCACTTAAGAGAATTGCTGGGTAATGCAAATGACTAATTACCAGTGCATGCATTATCAAGAGTCTTGTTTTCACTGGCAATGGCTTTTTGATTGATTGAAGTGTTTTTATTCCGCATGCCATTTTCCTGAGAATATTTTTGATTTCATCTTGGAATAAGAGAAACTGATCTAAAACTACTCCTAGGTATTTAACATTGGTTTTTTCCTCACTTATTTTATCATCTAGAGTTATAGTATATTTTTCATCCTTTTTTCTTGAATGTTTTTGCTGAAAACGATGAGTTCTGTTTTTTTTGCATTCAATTGAAGTGAGTGTTCTAAAAAATAATTTGATAATAGACTGCAATTGGCTTTGAGTGCTTTAATAGCTTTTTGTGGATCGTCATTTTCGCAGAATAGTAATGTATCATCCGCATATTGAACTATTTTACATGTTTTGTCAATTTGTTTGTTGAGATCGTTAATGTAGTGATTGAATATTAGAGGGCCAAGGACAGTGCCCTGTGGGACACCCTGCTCAAGGTTAATCCAATCGGATTCGGTGTTGTTAACAATTGTTTTCTGACTTCGGTTGGTGATAAAGGAATTGATCATTTCTATAGCTTCTTCGGAAAAATTTAACCCTCTTAGTTTTTGTTTAAGATAAGTATGATCAATAGAATCAAATGCTTTAGAGAGATCCAGTAAGGAACATGCTACAGTTTTGTTGTTGTCTATTGCTTTTCTGAATGCTTCAGTGCAATAAAGAATAGCGTCGATTGTTGAATATGATGTTCTGAACCCAAATTGGGTATTACTTAGTAATTTTTGGGATATCAGATATTCGTTGATTTGTTTATATAACAATTTTTCAAAAACTTTTGAAAGAGCCCCAGTTATAGAGATAGGCCTATAATTTTCTGGCAGTTCTGGATCTTCTTTTTTGTATATTGGTGTGACAATTGCTTTTTTGAGCTTGCAAGGATATGTCTTGTTTTTCAAAAACTCATTGTACAGAAATGTCAGATGTGTGTATATTTCATTGCAGCCATCCTTCAGCGCCCATGCTGGAATTTTGGATGGACCTGGTGCCTTTTGACAATTTAAATTATGTATTTCTTTTTTACATTCAGCTGATGTGATGAATCGGAATGAAAATTTATTATTATTTTGAATTTTGCATGTAGAAGTTGGTGGATTTTGCCTGATTTTTGAATTAGTCTCATAAAAGCATCCAAGAGTTGAGAACTTGTAATTTAGCAGGTTCGCCATCTGTAAATTATTGGTTATGAAATCGCCGAAGGAATTTTTAAGTAATGGAATGAGGTTGGAAGATTTTTTTGAGTTTCTTGTATCGTTTATTATACTCCAAATAAACTCTTGGAGTATAATAAACGATACAAGAAGTTATTTGGAGTATAAAATAACTTTTTTGGTTTTTTTAATCCTTTTTTGGTTTTTTTAATCCGTTAAGTTATATTGGAACAAAATAACTTAACGGATTGTTCCAACCCGGTTTTTAACGGCGTTCATGTATTTTGGGTATCTAGAGACCTAAGTATGAGGACGTTCTTAATTCTAGAGTGGGGGGATATTTTAGTAGTAGCCTTTAAGCTGTAACGGGTCGTAGTCTCATGTCACAAACGAACCGAATTGGCTCCGACTGATTTGAGGTAGAAAAACACAAGAGATAGTGTCCCTGACTCTTGAGCCAATAGTTATAGGGCCTATTTTTCTTAAGACTCATGTGTGACTGCAGTAGACGAATGTTACACAATGAAGTATCGTATTAAAGTCCTTTCTCAACAAAAATTCCTATTTCATGAGCGACTCAATTTGAAAAAAAACACAGGTCGAAGTTTACGTTATTGGGCCAAAAAATTGATACCGTTATATTATACCGTTTTTGACGCATGCTTCCCTTCAAAAGTAGTATATACATTAAAAAAAGGGAAAAGTTAACATCCCCCAAGCCGTTTGGGGAGGAGGATATTAACTTGGTTCTAAGTTGGGATTTTTCAGCCAATCAGAATTGAGCATTTTACATGCAGCGCTTAAATAAGTTTAATTTAAATTAAGCGCTGGGGTATAGGATATTAACTTGGTCTATTGGGGGGGTGTTGACCTGATCCTAGAAAAATTTTACAGTTGGTCTGCCGCAAGTGGATACCAAAAAATATCAAAGTTGGGCCCTTCGGTTGGTGAGGGGGTCGAATTCCTGGGGGTCCCTAAATCCGCCCCTACTCTTGTCAATAAAAAATGTCAATTAAATTGGAAGATTGTTTCTGCAGTACTTTATTTACTTCTTCTGCAACCAATCAGCACAAAGTGCACTAATGAAATCGTTAATTCAAGATTCTTAATCTTGTTGCCTCCACTGAAGTCTTCTATTGTTGAATCTCTGTTGACTTTATAATTGCAGGTTATTTATGGCCGATTTGCAAGATGATGATCAGAACGCAAACGGGGATATTAACGATCCGAAGAAAGCCGGCACAAGGTCAGTAGGTTAATTTCTGGTTTTTGATATTAGATAATTTAGTGGTTTATTGATAATTAAGAGTCGATGAACCTAGTTCATACTCATAGATAGGTCTCGATTACTTTTTCCCTTTTTGTTTTTTCAAGGTTTGACTTTTGATTTCATTTTAAGTTCAGTTATTTTTTTGTAGAAAGGAAGGTAAACTCCTCTATCGATAAGCAAAAGTGTAAAGGCCACATAAAACGTGATTGGCTTCTAGTTTCGAAAATGGAATGTAATAATCAGATTTCCAAGCGAAAATAAAGTTTTATTTATTGATCCAGTTTTCTCAAATTGGGTTAATTTAAGCGAAAAACTGTCAATCATAATTTGTTCCAGACATTAAAGGCTATCTTTAAGACCTTGTATTTTCTCTTGGAAATTCTTAAGTTCAGATTTATTCAAAAAGAAAGTCAGTATTTTTTCTGTTTACTTGCGTTCTTTGACTCTTTTCAAACGGTCTGTTGGCTATCTTTTAAATTAAAAATAAAAAGTTGTTCTCGGTTTTCTTTTTCAGACCTTGACCAAACTGAAGATATAAATAGACAGCTTTTCTTGATATATTTTGACATGAATCTGCTACTTGCAATGTGTCACATTAACAAAAAATAAACTGTGGGATAGAGCCAATTTATACAAAAGACAAGACATTGTCACGGTCTGGGTAGGTCCACCGTTTTGTAAACTGGAGCGGAATTGAGACTGTTTGTTTATCAATAGCTTGTTTACTTCGGAGATTTCGATTTATTAAATCGAACATTTCAGACAAACATTAGCTTTCTACAATCTGAAGATTTTGAAAGGCGACATAGACCAAAATTTTTCAACGTATGTACTTGCGTTTCAGAGTTTTCAAAAAGAGTTCGCCAAATGGAAAGGTTTGTGTTTTCTTATAACTTGATTAGCGTTGGGTTATTTTCTTACCAATAGGAAGTTTTGATGAAACGTGAATGTGTTTAGATAACAGTTTATATCGGCAGAAGGGACTTCTTAGATCATCTAACACATGTTGATCCGATAGGTTAGTGCTGACATAAAATTGAAAATGTTTTGATCTTTTTTCTATTTGAAATAAACTGAATTTTCAGATGGAGTTGTACTCATTGATCCCGAATATCTCAAAGACAGAAAAGGTAGGAAGGCTGTTATTCATTATTTGTTAAAAGTTTTTGCTTTTTGAGGTCTGGCGAATTTCTCATGTTAACAAAAACTAAAATTTAAAAACTCAAAGTTTGCTGCGGTAGTTTGACTGAGGTTTTTTGGTTTTTTGACCATTCAATGGCTTCGGAAAAATCACTATTTTTTAGGAGTATGTTTAATCTCTGAAGTTCTAGTAACCCAACACCGCCAAATTAAAATTTACTGCATTTGTTGAAACACCACCGTGTTTAGTGTATTGCCATGTACTGGCTGCTTTTCGTTACGGACGGGAAGACCTGGACGTGCTGGGGCTGACATTCCGCAAAGACCTCTACCTTGCTACGCAGCAGGTGTACCCTCCACCCCCAGAATCAGAACAGACTAATCTAACCCGTCTGCAGGAGAGACTCATCAAGAAACTAGGCCCCAATGCCTACCCCTTCTTTTTCCAGCTGTCCCCCCAAACCACTCCGGCATCAGTCACTCTTCAGCCTGCCCCGGGCGACACAGGGAAAGTTAGTGGCCTTCATTTGTTTCCTATTGCTACCAGAGTATTGTCCCGCTTAAAGCGAAAGCGGTAAAAAAAAGACAGCGGCCGATCAAGGAATATAAGCAAAAGCGGCGACAGCGATCGCAAATTTTCCAAAACATTATCAAAAGAGTTTTGATTTTTCAAACCCCCCGGAATTTCATCAGAAATAATCGCTCATAATTTTTTTTGGTCTGAAAAAAAATTTCGTTCTTTTAAATTCCTTTGCGTTCTTAAGGTCAGAACAATGTCTGGTTTTATGTTTTTTTTTTCACTTTGTGAAAAAAAACGTTTATAAAAATTGTACCGAAAGTATAAAGCGAATAAGCGAAATAAAATTAGATAAATGAAAAAGCGAAAACGAATTTTAAAGAAGCGGCGATATCGAAAAGCGATGACAATACTCTGATTTCTACAAATAATCCTGACAGATAATGAAAGATCTAGCGAGATAAATTTCTCAGCAAGAGCAGGACTTGCGATTCTTTTTCAGGGGGTTCATTTTTTTTGGAGTATAGAAACTAGTTTATAGGTTCTCAACCGGTGACATTTGTAAAGTGTACTCTGGGCCAGGGGCGGATTTAGGGGGGGGGGGGGGGGGTTGGACGCCCCCCACCCTCAGGGATTCGACCCCCTGCCGACCCAAAGGGTCCCCCTTTGGTACTTTTTAAGAAATCCAGTTTTGGCCGACCAACCCTAAATATTTCTAAAGGCGCCTTCGGCACCAATATATACTAATTTTGAGGGGGGAGCGCGCACCGAAAAAACGCGATTTTTGGTCAAAATTTTTCAAAAAGTGCCTAAAAATTTCTTTTTGGACTGTTTTTTCAAAATTTTGCCTGACGCGCAGAACATTTGGCCAAAACAGGGAAACTAAACCGAGCTTAAGGAGAGCGCGAAAAATAAATTCGGTCGACCTAAAAAAAGGTCCACAAAATTTTGAAAAATTTTTTGATAATCCGCCGCCCCCCCTCGAGAAAATCCTAGATCCGCCCCTGCTCTGGGCAAAAAGGATCGCCGGAAAAAGATATGCGAGATAGACCCAAAGCGTTGGAATTTATCCGAGCTATGCCGATAAAAAATACTACTGAAGCGTTTTCAAAGCGCTTTCATAAATCACATTAAGCTCGAAAAAGAATCCATAACGTTTACTTCTTTTTGCTAGCTTCCTGATTTGTACCAAAACGATCATTATTTCCATAGTATTAAATAAAGCTTGGTTTTTTTCGTTTGAAGTTTGATGTTTTGGAGCTTAATGTTGGAGGCTCGCTCTAGATAAAAATTTGGTGGATTATAAAAATTTGAGGAAATATCGACCAGTTTCTCCAGAATAATGTCTGATTTAAAAGGTTTCGTTCCAGATTAATGTCTGATTTAAAAGGTTTCGTGCATTGTGTTTGTCACTTAATGCGCTAATTTCATGCAGTTTTTTGCTTGTTTCAGCCCTGTGGCGTGGACTATGAATTAAAAACATATGTGGCAGACTCTTTAGAAGACAAACCACACAAAAGGTACGTTTGTTGTCATCAGTTATCCTCTAACCACTCTCGAAAAAGGCGATGGAAATCTGGCGTATAGTGGTCATTTTCGACTAGATTATAGGCAATTCAAAGCGCGTAGGTGTATCAAATTCGAGCTTTATTGCCCGTGATTCGGGTTCCAAACATTTATAAAAGTGTTTGTGTGTGGAAAGTTAAGTGTCTGATTTTTTATCCCAATTTTTAGACTAATTAACTTGGAGGAGAATTTTACACGGTGAGCTCTTTTTATACTTCTGCTGCAGTTTCAAAGTTATTTTAGCTATTAATACCTTAGTTTTGCAGTTTGCTATCTAATTAAACCCTCTCTCGCTATCTAACAAAAAATAAAATGAAATTAAAATTTAGTGTTTTTAGAAGTCGTTGAACGAAACGTAGTTCAGACTTTTATATAGGTCGTGATTAGTTTTTTGTTTTGTTTTTCAGGAAAAGTCTTAAAATTTAATCAGGCTCAAATTTACTTTTTCGCGGTTTAACTTTCGATTTCTTTTTAAATGCAGTTCATTTCCTTTGTTAAAAGGAGGACAAACTCCGTTGTCGAACAGCAAACAGGCAAATGTCAGTAAAATTGTGATCGACTTGATCAGTTTTGAAAAGGGAATTCAATTTTTAGAAAGTTTACTTCTTGATCAGTTCTCTAAAATTGGGTTAATTTTATCAAAAAAAGTTCCAATTATAAATTGTTCCAGAAGTTAAAAGAGCTTCAAGGGCATCTTTTTTCTTTCAATTTAGAAAATTGAGTTAAAAAAAAACATCAGTTTTTTTGGTTACTTGCGTTCTCTGACTGTTCTCCAATTGTATGTTGACCATGTTTCAATCTTGCGAGAACATGTGATCTAAACGCGGGAACTCGAATTTTTCAATTAAACATCTTTTGCCGAAAGTTTTTACGAAAGTGATGACTGCAAAAATCGGCGACATGCTCAATTAGCAAGGTTTATCAAATCGGAATATTGACTGTTTTCAGACTGACACCTTGCCTTGTTTAGCAAAGTCACTTGAATCGTTTGGTTCCTGGAGTCACAAAATATTCGTTGGCTTCTCGGGCTCACTTATTCAAGAAATAACGACTGCTCTTGGACCTCCGGCCAGGACCTGATTTTTTGTAACAAAAATATTTTCGTTTGAAAAAGTTTTTGACCTATTTTGCCTCTGTGGGTTGTTTTGGCTCAGCTACCACCTTCAATTGAATTTCCATAAAAGTGTTTTTATTGTAATTTTAAGTCTTTTAGCCAATAACCTAACTTAATTTCCTTCGTGTGGTGCTCGTAAACTTTTTTTGGCCTATGTGGTTTCCGCATCGCTTATTTCGGCTTAGTGTTCCAATTTTGCGTCATTTGGAAGGAAGAAAGGGCTTGTGGTTTTTTCCTCAGGGAGCATTAATTTTCAGAATATCAAAACTTAATAGGGCATAGGTTTTTTAGTATAATTTTGCGCCCAATTTGTGTCTGCTTAGTTGCTGCTTGATTTATGTTTTAAAGTTTGTTAAACTTCGGCGACTGTATTGCTGAATGTGTTTTCCTCAAATTAAAAATCATTCCAGACATGCATTTTGAAATTTTCTCGCTTTGGTTTTTCGGAATTTTGGTGTGGTGTCGCAATTAGTTTAAAATTGCACTTCTACTATCAAGTTCCATTACACGTTACTTTTTTTCATTGCTGTTAAAGCTAAATACCGTGGTATTTTTGCACAAGCAAACGCTTGTGTTATATTACCAGAATATTTCTTCCAACCTAACTTGCTTCAATTAGTGCTAAACAAACTGGTGTTTATAGCATGTGATGTATCCGCTTTTTTAGAGGCTATTGTTTGAAGAAAGCAAGGAGTTACTGCACAGTTGAAAAGACAGTAGACCCCAACTCGAGGGCAGAGGGAATTTTTTTTCTTTATCAAAATTTTATTTAATCAAGTGTCAATTGAACAGGGAGAAGAAACTTAAACGTCCTGTGGATTTTAAGTATATGTAGTTTGCCAATTGACATACTTCCCAGGACATCATGATAGTATAATTTTTCTTATAAACTTGAAATGTTTTAACAAAAAGATTTTTTTTTTCCTAGTTAATTGACACTTTTCCAACTGTCTTTTGGCCATATTTTTCTTTTTCCATTTTAAACCTCCCGTTCGATTTTTTTGTACTTTTTTGCGAAGTGCAGCTTCGGATCTTGTATCGATAGGGTCGGTTGTTGATATAGCGGAAATGTAAGACTACTTTAATTTCCGTGCGACTTCGTAGCAAAATTTATTCAACAAAGTAATTAAGCGTTTTTGTCTGTGCTTTAAAGAGAGGTTTCAAAGTTTTTCAGTTTTCAAGAGTTGATGATTGTTATTCAGACTCTTATATTGGTCGTCATGATTTTTTTCCAGGAAAAGTCTAAAAATGCTCTTATAACAAAAGAATGGCATTCATACTTATAAATCCACAAGAATGCCCTTAAGTATGTATGCTTTTTTTGAGTTCAATTCAGTTTGAGTTCAATTCATAGAAGCTAGACAAAATGAAATCTTTTCTCCGATTATGAAAGCTGAAATGCCGCGAAAAAACGTGATCTATTTCTAGTTTCTAAAAAGGAATTTCATTACGAGGCCAAACTGTGCATTTTGTGCATTGTAAGCGGATTCCGCAACAAGGACGCTCCCTTTGTTCTTCTTTTGTTCTTTCATTTTCTTTGATCGTTCCGACAAAATTTTAACATTTTTAAAGGCTTGTCTGTGAAATCCAGGAACATACAGACACAAACTTGTGCGCCTATCCAGTGCACAGTTTGGCCTCGTAATGTTAATTTTTCATATTTGCCAGCGGGGAATGAAAACATTTTCCCTGATAATCCAGTTTTCTCAAATTGGGTTAATTTCATCAAAAAAGTGCCGAAAGTAATTTGCTCTCGATCTTCAATGATTTTTTGAGGCGAAATATTTTTTTGTTTGAAAAAGTCGAAGTTTTTCAAAAAAAGAAGTCAATTTTTTTGTTCGTGCATTCATTAACTAGTTTCCAACTGTCTGTTCGCTATGTTTTAAAAAGGTTTTTAAAACACCCTGTTCTGAAACGTGCCAACACTGAATTGTGAGCATTTTCTGTCAAGTCAGATCAGAGAAAAATGGCATCCTGATAAAATCTATGCGTACAAAACAAAGAAATTAGGCTTCGACGTAAATGCATAAATTGTCCGTGCCCTTGCGTTCGCTATGTTTTTTTTTGCGGCTAGGCCATTTATGCAGGCTGAATATTTGGGTTACTTACGGGCTGACATATTTTCTATCAGGATTTTCAAATTAATTTTCATAGGCTTACTGACCTCTTGCTATGTTTTTTCGGTGTTTAATTATAGTACGATGTTTTTGGGCGAAACAGTTTTTCTAAAGACTTTAAGATGTTGGCGTTTATTTTCATTTTAGTGCTTGCTTTTATTGAAGGTAAGGCAACACGACATGTGCACGTGATAAGCATTTAAGCCTAAGTCTGTAAGGTATGATGTGCAATGCCAATATTAGATCGGCTTATTAGCACTTTGGTACTTGAATCAGCGCTTTGTTTATTCAACATTTGCTTTTGAGATCAGCAAGGGTATTGCCATCGGGTACTAGACTTTTCACCGTAAATAACTTTGTTCACATGACTGATCTAGACTCATCTACCGTGGTTTATAATGAATTCAAATTTCCTATCGTTCCAGGCACACTTAGCCTGGAGGCAATTAATACGCCTGGGTTTCTCGAATTGGGTTAATTTTATCCAAAAATGCCAGTCATTAATTGTCTCAGAAATTCAAAGAGCTGTGAATTTCTGAGAATTCGAAAGTTTCTTTTTTCTTGGAAATTCGAAAGTTTTTCCAATTTTTCATAAAACTAATTTTCTAGCTTTCACTATTTTTTTTCTAATAACTTGCGTTCATTCACTCTTTTTCAATTATCTGTTGGCTTTGTTTTGTAATAAAGCGATTGTTGGTTCGTTCTAAGCTAGCTTTTTTCTTTCTGCCCACACACAAAAAAATCAGTTACATTTTGGAAAAATCATGGAAAATAATTTAAAAATTGTGTTTCCTGTACCGCTTTTGCCTATTCTTGTTTTGTTACGTTTCAAAAAGTAGTCATATAATTCTTCAAGGTTAAAAACATTTTGCATTGCGTAAAATGGTTGCAGGTAATATATATATATATATATATTTTTAAGTTTCGGGGATAGGGCATCATTATCTTACTCACTGGGTTAAAAATTTTGTTAAAAATTGCGTCACTTTCTTCGAACGCCGGAGAACTAAAGAGAACAAATTAAACAGTCCGTGCGCAAAATGATTACTTTCGCATTAGCGTCCGAATGGTACTGAACTTATTGGAAAATTGACTCCAACCCCAGGGGTGAATATAGGAGACTAATTTGCTGAAATACGAGACAAGAATTTTTGTGAACTGAATTATGAAATGAGCGGAAGTGGATCTTTCAAAACGCAGTTTATTTCCTCGGTCAGAATACAAAAGGTAAAGGAAAAGAAAGGCATAATTTAAAAAAAAAACAACTCAAAATGCAGTGTATGCTTGGTAATAACCGACGTTCCCTGTTATCAAACAGCAGTGAATTTAAAAACCATGGTGGTTATCTAATGTATGTAGCACTTGATAGTTCAAGTTGTTCTTTCTTATTTTTTTTACCTTCGTGCTTAATTTAAAATAAGATGTGTCGATAAAATTAAACTTTAATTTCGGTTTCGGTTCTGATATAATCGATGCTAGTGCAAATTAAGTTGAGAAGGACTTCAAAAATCTAGAAGTGCTCCAAAAGTGACAGTTAACGCGAGTTTCGCTTAGAAAAGGGGACTTAATTATACGTGCAGACAAGACCGTTGCGTTATTAGCGTCTCTGCTCTGAGTATAAATCATGTCGGGAAATGAAAAATAAGAAAAGCGTGACCTTAATTACATCATAAAGGAAAAGGTAACAGTTTTTATGCTTCTGCAAGTGTTGTAAATTTGTTATGGTATAAGCTCCAGTTGTGAAGCTGAACAAAATTTAAGTCCACTGAATGGACTTGCGACTGACTTGCAAAAGACGTGCTCAGAATTGGAAATTAGGACATATTGTAAATGCTAATGCCCGGTCTTTTAACCCTTTCCCACCCCACCTGTGAATTTACAAATTGAAAAATGCTTCAACGTAGCGAGGTGTTTTTTTTCCGCCGAAATTGGGCATACTTGATAAAAAACCTCTTCTGAACACATGTTGTCCGTGTACGACCTTGTATAATAAATGGTTAACACGCAAAATCTCTTTTTGATGTTATTTGTGGGGGGGGGGGGGGGGGGGGGTTGCAAAATAGCCATGATTCTCATTTATGTCGCCTTTTCATCTATTAAAATTACGACTGGAAGCTATGCATCTGACGAAGCAGAATGATTGATTTTGCGGTGACATGAAGATGCTCTGGAGCTGAAATGCTCAAATTAATGAGACTTCCAACTCGGAAATCAGGAAGCATTTGTCGAAGCAATGGCAGTCAAATAGAGCGTCACTGAATTTGTGACATTTCCTATGGACTGGGTTGCATGGCTTGGCAAAAATCTGCGGGCACAAGTAGTTGCGGACTGCGGGCAATTTTTATTTATTATGCGGGCCTTTCTGGAGAAAAAGTAAAATTCCGCGTGTAAAAAGCGGAAGTTTTGCCAAAAAATCATGTTGTTGCCAAAATTAGCTTTTTGACGACACTCATAAACACAATTGCACCCAAAATATTTTTCATTTTGAATTTTTTGTTGGGTACTTGAGTTTTTCAAGCGTCGAATTTTTCATTTTGAATCAAAAATTGTGCAAAAAAAATTAAACGATTTTTTTAACCTTAAGGCATACTTGGGCCAATACCTCAGAAGAAAAATTTCGGAATCTTTTCTCACAAATCTTCTTTACTTAAGCGTCAATCAAGCGGAATTTTTGCGGGAATCTGCGTTTTCAAAATTTAATCGTATTCTGCGGTAATTGCGCCGCAGGTTAATTTCAAGCCTGTGCATGATAATCTACCCAGGTTTCCCCGAAAGAAAAAAATTGACGGAGTTCATGAAGATATTATTCACGCGCCCTTTCATTCGGTTGTCAATATTTTTGACACATATTGGCATTCGATCCCCTGAACACGGGTCCCCAATAGGCGCCAATAAAAAGTAAATTTCAGCAAAAAGCGCGCTCCAAAAAACTCATTTTTTGCATTTCAAAAAGCGCTCAAAAATGAAAAATATTATATATTCTTACTAAATTTTTAACCAGCAAGTTTTATTGATGTTTGTTTTGCTTTCTTCAAGTATGAATGTGCGCCGTCTTTCCGTCAAATTGTAAAGGCTTGATTAAAAAACGCATAAACGTTGAAAACGTTTTAGAACAGTTTGAAAACAATTTTAGTACAAAATTTTATTGAGAAATATAGCAAAATATAAACTAACGCTTATGATCCAGTTTTTTTTCAAATTGGGTTTATTTTATCAAAAATTGTTTATCATAAATTGTTCTAGAATTTAAAAAAGGCTTTAAGGTCGTCTGTTTTTGTCTTAGAATTTCAAAAGTGAATGTTTTTAAACAAGTCAGTATTTTTCTTCTTTCTTGCGTCATTGATACTTCTTCAACTGTCTGTTGGCTATGTTTCAAAATGGTTTTTAAAACACCTTGTTTTAAAACATGTCAACCCTGAATTGTGAGCATTTTTCTGTCAAATCAGATCAGAGAAAAAGTGCATCCTGATAAAATCTATCCGGACAAAATAAAATAAATCTTGAAACTGCCAAGGTGTTTACTCAAACTTGGGTAGAAGTTTATATGGCCCGGCAACCTTGTGAAATTTTGTGAACCAAAAAAGGTGTAAATTAGCCATTGGTTTATGGGCAGCCGTGGCTGAGTGGGTAAGACGCGCGGCCTTTAACGCAAAGGTCGAGGGTATGAATCCCGGTTCGGTCACGGTTGGAGGTCCCAGTGTCATCCGCCTCCGCTAGGTGGGATTGGCTGCGGCAGAATGAATGACATCTCTCTTCCCCAGGGAAAAAAGGCCCAAGGTTGAATGGTAGGAGATGGGCCGGGGACTAATTAATTAAAAACCCATTGATTCATGATAAAAAAGCTCTTGCTTCTACCCGCATATAAGCATTTTTCCATGATGCTACGAATGATTTTACGGAGAAAAATTATGTTTAGATTCGCCTAATTGGTCCTTAGGCCAATTTTTATGGATCCGGGTTGTGTAGAGCCAAATAATTACAAATCGAAATTCGCAGGTTGGAGAAGAAAGAACATGATAATATATCATTTCACTATGTAGTAATACTTATTTTATATATGTAAGACATTTTTGAATGCTAATGATCAGGATTGCTTCAGGAACTCGGTGCGTCTGGCGATTCGGAAGCTGACGTATGCGCCGAAGAAGCAGGCGCCGCAGCCGTCGGCAGAGACGAGTCGCGAGTTCATCATGAGTTCCAACCCATTACACTTGGAGGCTAGTCTGGACAAGGAGATGTATTACCACGGGGAGAGCATCAGTGTCAATGTCACCATCACAAACAATTCCAACAAGAGCGTCAAAAAAGTAAACAAAAACACACATAAACCAGGGTAGCCGGTTTCGGAAAAATACGAAAAATTCAGACCAGTTTTTCTCGACACAGAGAACGTGTTTTGAGCTAGTCAAAGTTGGCCTAAAAACTAAAATGTTAATCAAGAGGCTAAGGTTTTCGTATTCAGTTTCATTGGCGAGAGATTTAGGAAGACGGTGTTTTATCCGTTACAATAAATCACATCATTTGCTGTCTAGTATTTAGTAGTAGATATGTAAACTACAGCAGACAGCTTGGACAGATACTGCTGTCAGGGAAGCCAATGATTCATTATCTGGTGGTCAGTGGTGTGAATCCCGTAGTCGGCTAATTCTTTTTTAAAGCTTTTGTTCTTACGATCATTTTTTCCTGCTTTTTGAAGCTCCCTCTTGTCTTTTTTGCTGGTGTTTGCTAAGTACAGCTTCGCCTGTGTTGATTCTGTGTCTGGCAGCTCAGTTTTTAGTGGATCATTTTTCCCTCGTACGATTCTCCTCTAATAGTCATTAAAATTGGAAAGCAAAATCTGCAAGGGGCGGAATATGCCACTTAATTCAAAAGGGGCGCAATGTGTTATGGGCGAAACGTGGCATTGTAATGAGATATGTCGTATTATTGGTGCTCATGACAAAATGGCGGATGTTCAACAAACCGCCATATCTTGAAGCCGAAGTTACATCAGAACAACGTAAATAGCATCAGAATTACGTAACAATTGCATAAAAACAGTGGTAATCTCTCGTTACGTTGCGTGACAATATTAATTTTCGTCTTTTTGGAATGGTAATCTTTCTTATCGGTTTGTTGGCCCTTCGGCTTGTTTTAGCCTATAATCGAAAAAGTGGATAACAAATGTGAGTTTCGTGTTAGGTGAAGGTGAGTGTACGGCAGATAGCGGACATCTGTCTGTTCAGCACAGCCCAGTACAAGTGTCCGGTGGCGGAGCTGGAGAGTGAGGAGCGAATGCCGGTGGGGCCGAGCCAGACTCTGACCAAAGTGTACACTGTGACACCTCTGCTGAGTGAGAACAAAGACAAGAGGGGTCTGGCACTGGACGGGAAGCTGAAACACGAGGACACAAACCTCGCATCATCCACCATGTAAGGCATATTTTTTACAAACACACCAGAAGAGGCCTATTTGATCATCACTAGGCTCTTTAGTTCTCTCTCTCTTGAACTCGAAAGTGCCATCGCTTTCTTTTGTAAATAAATTGTTGGATCATGCTCCTCGGCTCTTTAAGTGGGCTTAGATTATATTGAAAATTGTTGCCATTAAACACCGTGTACTATATAACCATCATGATCAAGGTCAATCGTTTACTAATGATTACTACCCTTGCGATAAGAAAGGGTAATAATATCGGGTACTAGACTTTTCCCCCATAAATAACTTTGTTCACCGAATAGTCAAAAGTAGAAATGGTAAATTTTGGTTCAGTTCATAGTGAAACCAATTTTTTTTGCGTCTCCGGCTTACATGATTACAATATAGTTGCTTTAGGTGTTCTGATTTACCTCTGCTGTTTGTAATTTTACTTAACTTGACTTATTAAGTTTAGGCCTATATTTTCGGCTTAGTGATCTAATTGGGTGTTATTTCAACGGAAGCATAATTTTCATGCTCATCTCTGGATCGCACAAAATGCTAAAAATCTTAATAGAATTATAATTCAAGTTTTTCATGGCAACAATTTTTTTCCTGGTTCTGATTTTTTTTGTTCCTCTTGATAGGTTACGGCAAATATTATATCGGCTTTTTGGCCTCGTATTGTGTCTTTCGACGAGCGAAAAAAAGTATGTGTGCGTTTCTGTGTTTTGAGGGTGAGGGGTGTAATATTTTCTTAAACTTTTTAAAGAATTTTTCGGCTTTCTTTTGTTTTCTTTTTTTTGGGGGTTAATAGGTTTTAGCCTATATTATATCGGTTTAGTGGCGTCATATTATTGCATTTGACGATCAAATCAAATTTTTGTGTTTTGAGGGTGAGGTGGACTTTTTAATTTTTCACAAGTCTTAAGTCATGTGGATTTTTTTTCGGCTTAAAGGGTTTCTGACCAGGTATTTTCGGCTTTGTTACCGCTGGGTACATTGTCGTCTGATCCTTATTTCACACTCTTTTGTCTTGGCTTGTTTTTGTTTCAAAACTAGTCTTATTCATTTTGATAGATCTAGTTTTTTTCGACCTTTTCGATTTTTTTTTGTTTTAAATCGCAAATGGCGCGAAGCTCAGCTTCTCTTCTGTGCCATGTGTATAAATCATCCAGGATTTTTTCATATATTGATAAATTCTAAATGGAAATAGAAACATGGCATCGTCCACAATATGAGACATAGTTTTAAAAAAGGCAACAAAAGGAGTATAAGGTCTACTAGCGTTAAGTGATACGCACGTGTATCGTTCATCTAGCAAGTTTTCAATTATATGGAAACTTGAAATGAGAAACTGAAACCAGACTTCGACCTTATTGTAAAATACTCTTCCAAACACACTACGAGCTGGGTATGTCAAACGGTTCTACTCCATTCTAGTCTTCCCTTTGATTTCTGCTAAAATCAAAGACTTTAGGGTGATTTAACATATTTTTGACGCTATAGTTTTTGCAGAAATAAGGTGAACAGATTTGGACTATCTTTAATCTTGCGACAACGCCCGGTAGCTTGATTTCAATCGGTACTTGATTTTTCACAAACTGAAGATTTTCGGCTGTTTTTGACGATCGTCTGTCTGCTTATTTTTGTCGGCTTAGTTTCCGCAGAAAGGAAGTTTTGAAGGTTCGGCTTCCTTCTAGAGTTCCAAAAGCTCCTTTTAAGTTTATTTATGGTACAGGTTATTTTGTTCCAGGATTTTTTGGCTCTTTTGCAATTTGATATATATTTTTTGACATATAATTTTCTTTTAAAACTTTGATTTGTCTTTTCATTTGCTTTTAATCATAGTGGTTGATTTTTGTAGCGCAATTGATGCGAAGCTCAGCCTTGTCTCTGTTTCAACATGCTTTTGAGCAGATATTTTTGAACGGTGGGAGCGGCGTAGGCTAAATGGTCGACGTCCGATCTTCCAGAAAGTGCCTGCAGTTGGTAAGGCCGGGGCTAAAAACAGATTTGAACAACATACTTTGAATTTCTATGTAACGAGGGAGAATCTTCGCGAATAATTCATCTACATGGCTGATTTTTTAAAAAAATTTTAAAACCAGCAAGTAGATTAAAAAATAGGTTGGCTGTTCGTAAATTATGTCAAGTTAAAAAGGCTTACATCAAGCACTTATAGTAATCCAGGACAGCCAAGTGTCGATCATCCTCTAGTCGTCCATTATGTAAGACTTAGTTGAAAAGAAACTTAACAGAAAAGTCTTATACTTAACTGAAGTGCCTGAACATAATGAGCAACCATCTGGACATCGGATCTAGCCTGTTTTCAAATTAAGAACAAAGTGAAATGAGAAACTGAAGCCTCCAAGGGGAAGCAAACGAAAAAAGTCCACTTTAGGTAGATAAAAGCTCCAGCATGTGCACATAACCGCAGTATATTCTAAAATGCATGTCAACTATACGGGGACACAAAATTGAAATCGTTAACTACATAAAAAACCAAATATTTATAAAAGATGTTACATGAGTAGATATATTGAGCTGAATTTATCCTTAGTGGGCATTAGCAGCTATTGATGGGATTACCTTTGTATCAAGCTAGTCATTTACACTCTGCTGACAGAACCCGTCATAACTAATAAAAACATTAATAAAAAATATCAAGGCCCCAAATTGATTTTTTTTGCTGAAATTCTGTAAAGAAAGGGGCGTTTCTCCTGCAATTTTTGTTGGAAATTGAAACAGTCTTTGGAATGCGTATTTTCTAGATATTTTAAGCAGGGTGGGGCTTTGTTTACGCTTATATCGCTATATAATTTTTTTCCATCAGGTCTTTTTGCGGTTTGATTTTGAATTTTTTTAAATCAAACCGATCTGATTTCTTAAATTCAATTAAAGTTCATTTGCTTAAAATAAAGCTAATTGCGCTCTCGAATGACAGAACTTCATTCAAATGGCGCGTTAAAAAAACGTGAATGACTTAATTGGATTTTACTTTCAGATTTCTTGCAGAATAAAAAGTGATCCAGTCTTCTCTAATTGGGATAGTATCTTGAAAAAGGTTTTGATCATAGCTTCTTGAAATAAACAGAGCTTCAATGTGATAAATTTCATTCTTTGAATTTTGAACGTTCAAATTAAATGTCAATTTTGTTTAACTTCAGTTTATTTTCACTTTTTCAACTGTTTATGTTTTTCAAGTGTTAGTGAACGTTATGAAGATATTTACATTGAGCGTGTTGATCTTCTTTTTTCAGGAAAATCTTAACACTTGATTATGCTCAAATTGATTTTTCGCAGTTTGTTTTTTGACTTTTTCAGTTTCTTCGATTCAAATCCAAGTGCTAAATGGAAGGCGAATGACGCTCTACAGTTACGAAATTGCAAATCAACGATGATACCAAAGTTTGACTTTTCGCTGTGTGGCCTTTGATTTTTTTTTGGCTGAATTCAAATTCATTTGCTTAAAGGAATGTAATTACGCTTGCGATTAGTAAGCGTTATCAAACTTAAGACTGTTTTTTCGGGTGAACAATTTAGTAAACAGAATCACTTGAATCTAGTGGTATCTTGGTTCATATTGATTTTAAATTTCTAGTCGTCTCCGGCTTACTTAGTCTGGAGGTAACCAATACGCCTGGGACGCCAAAGGTCCTGGGTTAGAAACTGACCGGACCTGTTTTTTTTTTAACGGGAAGTAGTCGTTTTAAAAAAAAAGTTGTCGGCTTTTTATTGTCTGCTTATGTTTTGTCGGCTTAGTTGCTATATTGTAGATTTTTTAAATATAATTGCTTTTAGTGTTCTGATTAACCTCTGGTTTGTAATTTTACTAAAGTTGACTTCGTATATATATATTTTTCGTTTAAAACTTTATTCTGCCCAAATGATTTCGGACTTTTTTTTATCGGTGTAGTGGCCTAATTTCGAGTCGTTTCAACAGAATTGTTTTTTTGTTTTATGCTCACCTCTGGATTGCGCAAAATTCTAAATTTCTTAATAGAAATATAGTTCAAGTTTTTCATGATTACAATTTTTTTTCCGGCTCTTTTGATTTTTTCCTCTTTTTTAGATTAATAGGGTTTGGCGTATATTGTATCGGATTATTGGCCTCATTTTGCGTCTTTCGACAAGCGAAAAAAGTTTCGTGTGTGCGTGTCTGTGTTTTGCGGCTGAGGGGGACTTAAGATCTTCTTAGTTTTAATGTTTTTACGATTTTTTTCAGCTTTTGTTTTTCTTTTTTGGGCTTACTAGGTTTCGACCTATTTTATATTGGCTTGGTGTTCTCATATTGTTTCTTTTGACAAGCAAATAAAATTTTTTGAGGGTGAGGTGGACTTATTAACTTTTCAGAAGTCTGAAGTCTTGTTTTTTTTCGGCTTAAAGGGTTTCTGATAAGGTAATTTCGGCTTTGTCACCGCTGGGTACATTATCTTCCATCGCTTGTAACAAATTTTTTTGTGTTGTCATGTTTTTTTTAAAACTAGCCTCATTCATTTTAATAGATTTTTTTTTCGACCTTTTCAATTTTTTTTTTCATTTTTTTCTTTTGTATCGAAAGTGGTGCGAAGCGAAGTGTTACCCTCTGCAATCAAAAACTCACTTTTAGTTTTGTAATTGGGTTTTAGTATAATGTAGTATAAAAATCATAATCTATTGATTCAATTTTCAAACTGGGCTCATTTTATGGAAAAAGTGCATATGCATGATAGAAAAGTTCTTAAAATTTAAAAGCTTGAATTGAAAGATTTTTTTTCTCAGAATGAAACCTTACCTATTGATCCAAGTTTTTTTAAAATTAAATTAGGATAGTTTTATCAAAAAATCTTTTTTGAAATAAAGAGATCTGAGATGATATAATATATTCTATGAATTCAAAAATTACAAAACATTTTCCTGCCTCCTTGGCTTAATCAACACATCCTCAACTGTCTGCAGGTTATGTTTTAACGGCCTAACTGAGGAAAATTAAAGGTTGTTTTGTGAAATGATATCTATCTTCGTGATTGGGAGTTGCTGATGTCTTGTTGTTTTAATTTTTTAAGTTTTTTTTCAGGAGAGTAATTAATGTCTTCTATTTTAAGTGCAGGTTTCATATTATTTTTCAATAAAATACGAATTTCAATTCTATTGAACTCAACATAAAATTGCTTTCAATGCGAAAACAAAACTGGCAGAATTTTGACGTCTATTCGGCTATAATGACATAAAATGTTCGAACGTTGAAAACAATCTGTTAGTGGAGTTCATGAATACTCTTACATGCATATTGTGGCTATTTATGATTCAACTGACCAAGAATCCTGTTCAGACTACCTGGCGACAGGTGAGTCGACATCACTTCAAAAACAACTTGACTAAAACGCGAGATTTAAAAATTGGCATGATGGCTATGCTACATTCAATTCAATTAATTACACTTGCGATAGCAAGTGTATTGCAACCGGGCAATAGACTTTTTTCCCGTAAATAACGTTGTTCACAGGACTCACTGGATTCATTTTCTGCAAGCCGTTGTTAGCAACAAATTTGCTTTTTATGAAGTTGTGATTTTACCAACGCGATTTGTTAAATTTTCATCTTTTTTGGGTTAATAAGTTTTGGTCTATTTTATATCGGCTTAGTGGTATAATATGGCGTCGTTCTACAAGCGAAAAAATTGTTTTGTGTGTTTGTTTGTGCTTTGAAGGTTTTGGCTTATGAGAAAAACGCAGAGCATTTGTTCAATCAAGGAATTACCTGTATGCGAAATATTGAAATTACTCTCTAGCGTAATGAGACGAGAACATTATATTATATTCGTTTAAGGGCCTTAAATGCTGCGTTTGACGAGCGAAATTTTGTTTTTGTTTTTGAGGGTCATGCGACTTAATAATTTTCTTATTGAATTTTTTTCAGCTTACAGGGTTTCTGCTACAGTATTATTGGCTTTGTTACCGCTTGGTAAGTTTTTTTCTAAGATTGTTTCACATTGTATTGTCTTGGCATCACATCGTATTGTCTCGTCTGGTTTCCAAACTAGCTTAATTCATTTTGATAGGTTAGTTTTTTCGAAGTTTTCGAGTTTTTTTATTTTGTGATTTGGCAGCTTTCTTGTTTTGTGTCGCAATCGTTGTGAAGCTCCTCTTCGCGTCTATATTAGCAAGCCTCATCAAATCGGAATGTAGAACTTTTGGGTTAAAAACTTATTTAACAAAACCATTTGAATCACTTGTGCTGCTGACACGCACAATTTCCTGATATTTCATGTTTAACTGCTGACTTTTGGTGCTATTAGGTAATGGAAAATGTCATATTTATAATTCTAACATTTTGAACTATGGTTATAGAATTTCGATATTATTTTTTGCTGATGATTTACGGCAGTCAACTTTCACATATTTGGTGTCGGTTGTGGTTTTCCACTATTTTGGCTCATATTTTGTTTCCTATTACGTACCTAAAATTTCCGAATGCTCGAAAAAATCTCACAATGACCTTTTCAATAAATTATAATAGTTTCAGCATGAGAAAATTTCTTTATAAATTTTTTCTAAATTTTTTTTTGCTTTTCTAGCCCCTCTTCGATCTCATACTTGTTGTATCGCTAGTGGTGTGAAGCTCAGCTTCGCTTTTTTTTTAAAAAAAAGATCAAACTAGGTGTTATATAAATCAGCTTTAAATACTAAGTATTTACACATTAACTATCGAAGAATTAATAATAGCAACTTTAGTTTTCAAGCGATCAAATGAGCGAAAATTTTTTGCAACTTTTTCTCTGCACCTACGAGAGATTCGCGGCTGAAATTTTGACATGTGATGGATGAAGTTTTTTAATAAAATGAAATTGGCGGCTGAAAAATCTCCGTAAACAGCAGAAGGTGTCTGCAGTTATGCACATGAAAGTTTTGGTTGGTAAGGTACAGTTCCAAGCCAGGCCCTCATAGGAGAGGAAACCTGTATGAGGGCGTAGCATAGATCCTTACCTTTCATCGAGAACTTTTCAGTCTAAAAACTGCTCGCTTTTAACGTGAATGTTTTGGAACTAAGAAAACCTCTCTGATTCCCTCTAAATACATGGACAAGCTATGCCTTGAAAACAAGTTTTAGCAGCGGAAAAAATTTCGTTCAATTGTGAAAAAAGTTTTGAAAAAAATTTTGTTCATTCCATCGCTTGAAAACAAAGTTGCAACTTCTGTCCCGTGGCTGTAGCTACAGAAATCCAGCTCTTTTCCACTTTCTTCGACATATGAGTTTCCATTTCGAAGAACTATTTCAAGGTTGTCGGTTTGTATTGAAAATTCGCACGGTGAACAAAATAACTTTTGTGAATATATTTGTTCTTCATACTTAACATTGTAACTTGACGCATTAGGCACGCATTGAAGGTTTTGTTCAAAAAATGCGTTTTTCAGCGCGTGCAGCCACTCAAAGTTTGTATATATTGATGATGAAGGCGCCTTTAGAACAATTTCAGGATCGGTCGGCCGAAAATGTATGTCTTAAACTAGTGAGGGTACCAAGGGGGGACCCTTTGGGTTATAAATTGGTCGAATCGCTGAAGGGGAGGTCCGACCTAACCTAAATCGACACCTTGAGTACGAATGACTTGTTTTCGGCTGATTTTTATGCCCGCTTATTTTCAGTTGGTTTATAAATAGGCTGATTTATTCACACTTAGTTAAACTATGCTTTGAAATAACAGTATTTGCTGATTGTTTGTGTTGCTTCTGAAATTGAAAGTAGTGAAATTTGACTGTGCATTTGACGAAGCGACTTTGAGGATTAAATTGATCACTAATGGATTTCCAATTAATTGGATTTAGGAAGCTTTGTCGAGACGCTTTTAGTTGAGCGGGATAAAGGGATTCCCGGAACTTAATTTGACAAATCAATATGCTAATCACTGAACTGCAAAAATCAACAAGAGCTAGTCGTAAAAACGGTTAATGCACCACTTTCACCATGCTATTTTTCTTAGTTTTTTCCAATTGTTTTGTGCAAATCACGCCTTCAAGTAGATTTTTTTGTTCGAAATTGAATTTTTGTTTAACTCTAAGCGTAGTTAAGATCTAGTGAAGCATGTTTGGTTCTTTTATGCTTTTTCCAACGGAAATAAAAAGACATTTCGCTGTAATTGAAATAAATTTAAGCTTTAAGCTTCAAAGCATATATGTAGAAGGAAAATTACCTGTTTAAAGTTGTTGTTAAATGGCTCATGCTTATGGTGTTTGACCTCTAAATAAAGAGTTGCTTTGCTTAAACCTGTGAATTGTAGCATTTAGTTATATCAGCAGTTATTTTAAATTGAAACTACGTCATGATCGATTCTTCAGTAGAGAAAAGCTGATGTTTTGAGTTGACTGGGGCTCTTTTCCAGTTTCCACCCCCCCCCCCCCCCGTCACCGTCAGAGTTACAAATAAAAGCTGTTCAAAAATTGTTCACACGGCATTTTGCATGTTAATAAATGTAAAAATTTGTTCACCTGTTCATCCTGACACGTTTTAATGCAGTTTGTAACTTGAGGCATTTTAGCAAGAATTTTTTCATATTTTGAATTTCAGAAAAAAATTAAAAGGGGGCGGGGGGGGGGGGGGGGGGGCTGGAAACGAGCCTTGATTGGTGTTTAGCGGATGGTTTGACTGGTTCGGTCTTAATGAGTGTAAATATATGTTTCAGAGTGGCAGATCCTGCTCAGAAGGAGAATTTGGGAATAATTGTGCAATACAAAGTCAAAGTGAAGCTAATAGTCGCGTTCGGAGGGTAAGACATTATATTATTATAGTAAAACTACAATTCGATTATCTGTTAGGAAAAAAATCTACTAAAGGTGTTAAATGATTGTTTTACAGAATGATATGATTGAGCGCCCCAACTCAGACAGAAAAATCAACATAGTGTCTAATATTTAATTTTTGCACGGAATGGCGTTTTTTCGAGCTTCTTAAAAAAACACTTCTGACTTTTTGAGAGACCTTTCCTATTCATACATCCGAAACGCATAAATATTTAATTTTGACAATGTCTAACTAATTATTATGGCGCGAGCGCCTCTTGTGCTTAATATGGTCTGGATGTTTGTCGGTTGAGGGATATTAATCAATTTGGCTGATTTGAACTTGGCTGATATGCCAGAATTTTGAAAAGTTATTGATTCAACTGATTGAATATGATTCTCTGTGCACTTAACTGAAATTAGTTTCGAAGTTCTTGATGGTGCTAAGATAAGCACCCCTGAATTGGTTAAGTATTGGTTATTTCTGTAATATTGCATCTAGGTTTGGGAAAACCACGTGAGTTTTGATACAACTTTTGTCCTCATGAAAAATTAATGTGCCAGAAAGGCCTAATCAAACCTGAAAAATGAGTACCTTATCAACAGGAAAAAGCACAGTTATACCGGTATCACAACTATACTGCGAACATTGAAGACCACGAATATGTTACATGCCTTTCTTCACCTCTTTAAGACTTATTTGTCATCCAGATTTTATCCCCGAATTGTAGTTTAAAACTGTGTAATACTCTCCGAAGTATTTTTAACAGGGTGGCCATTCGGTTAGTTTTGGGTTTATTAAAATCAAGCATGTTCAAATAAGGCAGACATTTTTTGAACTAAGACTGACAGCTGGAAAACAGTCTTATCGAAAAAAGCAAATTCCGAACTCTCAAGAAAGATAGCCGATTGCTGCGAAATTAGCTTAGAATGTTCAGACCACAAATTTTCCAATTTAATGAGTGAATTTCAAAATTGAGGAAAACTTAAGAAATCGAAAATATATACTTCTAGAAATCTTGTTCAGTGTTTTCAACATCGTACGATAATTTTAAAAGTTTTTCTAGGCGATAGAGTTCTATCAAATTTTTGAACGAATTATTCCTATGGCCACCCTGTGGTTGAATGTTAACCAGAGCAGATATCGTGTCGTATTCGATCTGTCACGTGACATTTGAACTTACAAATGGTAAAACTGAGATTTTTTAACTCATGAAGGCGTTGCTGAAACTCATATTTCTAATGCAAACCTACTGGAATAAAGGTATACGCTCTGTGTTAACTTCGCCACAGACAACTCCTAATAATCTAACAGCTCCACAAAGCGTAGTTGATAATTTAAATTTCTGTGGATTAAAAGTGCTGTTGTTTCAGTGATGTATCTGTGGAGCTCCCGTTTACATTAACACACCCGAAAGCAGAAGAGCCAGAGTTAGCTTTCCAGAGTGAAGTCATACCTGGTGAGATTAATAACCTCACAAATTAGCCCAAACTTTCACTATTTGGCCGTAACGTTATGATTATAACATTATTAAGAGTAATGAACGTAGTGAAGACTCTTGTATAGGTCTTGGTGGTTTTTTTTTAAAAAAAGTCCTAAAAATTGTTCACGCTTAGTTTTGGTTTTTTGCAGTTTTTGCTTGCGATTAGCAAGCGTTATCAAATCGGAATATAGTCATTTTTCGGGTTAACAACTTGTTTAACAGAATCACTTGGTATCTTGGCTCATAATGAATTCAAATTTCTCAGCGTCTCTGGCACACTTAATCTGGAGGTAACGAATACGCCTGGGACGGCAAAGGTTCTCGTTTCGAATCTGACAAGGACCTGTTTTTTTTTAAGCAGGAAATATTCCTCTTCAAAAAATTGTCGGCTTATTATTAGTTATATGTTTGTCGGCTTAGTCGCCACATCTCAGAATTATTTACCATGTGCAGTTTACATTGTAGTTGTTTTCTATGTTTTCCTTTACTCCTGCTATTTGTAATTCTACAGGCCTTGACTTTGTATATTTTCCATTTTTGTTTCGCTTAAAAATCGGCCTAAATGATTTAGGTTTATATTTCATCGGCTTACCAACCTAATTTTGGATTGTTCGAGGGAACCATAATTTATATGCCTTCCTCCGAATCGCCCAAAACGTTAAAAGTCTCAGAATAGAATTTTTATTTCAAAGTTTATCTGGACAACAATTTTTTTTTCGCTTCATAATTGTTTTTGAATTTTCAGTAAACGCCGTCGAATGTGTTTCTGGACGTGTTTTCCGCAAATAAGACATCATTCCAGACAACATTTTAATTGTAGTTTCTTTGAAGTTTTTATGAGTAATGAACGTAGTGAAGACTCTTATATAGGTCTTGCTGATTATCATTTTTTATTATTTTTTCATGAAAAGTCTTAAATTCTCCAATAACTACAGATGTGAATTCATACATATTGATGCATTTAGGTATATATGCAATTTTTGAGTTCAATTGAAATTCATCTGCTGAAAGTGACGTAAATAGCACAATCCAAATACAAACGTGGAAATGCCGCAAAAAAAAGTGAACGATTTCTATGTTGCGTGCATTACTCTTTTCCAATCTTCGATTGGCTATGTTTTTTTAATTGTGGTTTCTTCGAAAATTTTTTCGTTTTCATTGGACTTAGTCGCTCTTTTCCATGTCCTGTCTGCTAGCTTGCAATGCTATTTTTGTGGTAGCGGAAGTGATGCGAAGCTCCGCTTTGCCTCTGGGTGAACCTATGATTTTTTCTTAAGTTCATTTCCTTTCTTTGATTAAAAGGAAGGCAAACTCTACTATTGAAAATCAAAAGTGTAAAGGTCACTAAAAACGTGATCAACTTCAGCTTCGAAAGCGAAATTTAATTATCAGACTTCCCAGCGAAATAAAAATTTTACCTAATGATTCAGTTTTCTCAAATAGTTTTATTTCTGTCAAAAATGGTCAATCAAAAATTAGTTTTTAAATTCCTAGAGCTTAGGCCTCCTGTTTTTTTATTTGAAATAAAAATTTTGAAAAACAAGTCAATATTTTTTTTTCTGTTAACTTGCGTTCATTGACTCTTTTCCAACCGTCTGTTAGCTATCTTGTTTTTTGAATCTCGAAATTTGATAAAAGGTTTTTTTGGTATTTAGTGAGATTTTCAAGCGTCTGTCGGCTCTTAAGAATGTTTCGTAAATTGCGAATTTTGAAAACGCTGTCATTTCTTTCCAACAAAACCGATTGACTTGAATATGAAAATGTCGATCATTCACAGCGCGACATTTTTCCATTCGTTTTACGATGTTACATGGACAACGTTTAAGACATGGACAACGTTCGCTACCGTTTTAATATCGACAGATCTAGCAAAAATATGTATTCACTTGTCTAGCTGACGATATAAACCCTTTCTTCCGATGTATCATACACATTGAATAGTTTGCATTTCATACACGTTGAATAGGTTTTGTTGGCTATGTTTTTCTGTTAAACTCGAAATTTGATAAAAGTTGATTTTTCCAACTGTCTGTCGGCTATACTGGGTGTTTCGTAAATTTTGCGCATTTTAAAAATGCTGCTATTTTCCTACAAAAACGATTGTCTTGAATATGGTATCAATTGATAGATAATAGAATACATTTTTTAACATTTTAAAAATGCTGCCATTTTCCTTCAAAACCGATTGTCTTGGATATGGTATCAATCGATATATAATAGAATACATTGTTAAAATAATAAATAAAGTTTTCATTTCAGCAGCTGCTGAAAATGCCGAATGTTGATATGTTACAATAGGTGGTAATTTTAAGTGTAGTGCATGTAATAAATTTGAGAACTATAATGCATAATTTAATCATTTCTTTTTTAATCAATTGTACATGCTGCTATGACAGTTTTTGTAAATACAGTACTCTGCCAGATTAATGTTTCTGAAAAACTCAAACTTTACACTTCTTTTGTCGAAAAAATTGGCTTTTCAAATAAATTATAAATGCTGTGCAAAGTATAAAAAGCGATCCAGCTATTTAATTTAAAATTACCGCCTACTGTTATACATCACCTGCCGACTATTTACAGCGCAGCATTTTTCCTTTCGTTTTACGATGTTTCGAGTTGCCCTCAGAACTTTGGCACTTGTTAAGACATAGACAACGTTTTGTTCCAATATTTTGAGCTCTGTGGTGTTTTTCAGTGGGTCTAACTCATGTGGCTGAAAAGTTTTGTGATAAAGACCAATGATAGAACGTTTCCGTTTTCACGTGATTAATGTAACCATGATAAAATGCGTGGATTGAAAACAACAAAATTGTTTCACAAGTTGTGAACAAAAGGCATTATTTCACGCGGCTGTTTCATCGGAGTTCATTTTCTTCAATTTAGCAAAAAAATATGTTTTCAACTGGATATTTGATGATATAAACCGTTCGTCCCGCTGTATCAAACACGTTGAATAGATTGCGTTTCAGAATACGCATTATTTACGAAAAAAACCTTGTGATATTTATTTGACTTGGTAAATCCGCTTCGTCGTTGTTCTCAATAGAGTTTGATAAATATAGCACAGCTTGATGTACAATTTTTGGTCGCCTCAGGCAACCGAATATTAGAGTTTAATAATAAGACACTCACGGTTATCAAAAACATAGTTTAATTTGTGAGTTTACTCGTCATAAAGCAAATTGATCTTTTGCAGGTGTTACAAAACAGACAGTGGATCACAACCTGATTAACTTTGAGACACAAGGTGTTGCAGCGAAATCAGAAGCAGTGGCCGAGAACGGACCAGTCGCCACTTCGGCATCGGCAGGAGAGGGCGGCGAAGGTGGGGGAGGGGGCGGGGACTTAGCGGCATTGATAGGTGGGGGCGAAACGGTGCAATTCGAAGACGATGATTTCATTTTCGAGGAATTCACTAGGATGAGACTCAAAGGCGCCAATGCCGAAGACATGGAGGCCTGAAGAGGCCAAGAGAGGTCACGAAAGCTCTCGGCTTTTATCTAACTTCACGAAGAAGTAGAGTTAAATCACACAACGACGTAGCTTTGAATCTTAAACCAGAGACGAAATATTTGGAAAGAAAATTGGTGTTAGATGTATCTATGTAAAACTCTACCGTTCGTATTGGAGAACAATTAGCAGTACACAAAAACCCTTAGTAATTTTCAAAACTCTAATTCGAATTGTAAATTGATTAAATGTTTTTAATAGGTTTAGTGTAATAATGCGTTTCTATCTTCCCATGCTTAATACTATTTTTTAGTGGAATTCGCTTTCTTCCGACCTAATTGACTAGTAAAAGTTGTGAAAAAAATTTTAGCAGTGAAGGCCGAAATTTCATTCTTTCTTGGCTACATGAACTCGTGCGCAATCTCCTGTTCGCTTATAGTTTGAAAAAATGAATTTGAAATGCGTTTGATTCAAATAATGCTATGCTTCGCGTTGTGTTGATGGAATTTTATCACCATTACTGGGAAAAGCGGGTTCTTTGAATATCAATAAATTCTTTTCGAAATGCTGGGCTTACATTTAGTCATCCTTCAATATTATTTCGTGCCATATCCTTGTTGAAAGATATAGCATGACTTCAACGTTTGGCCGTATTTGGATTAAAACTAGTCAGAATATTGTTAGCAGTTAATTGAATGTTTGTTATTGACAACATCGAAGCTTCGTTAATGTAATTTTGTCGGAACTTCTATCTTTAAACTAACTTAACCTAAATTATCTGACCTCTCTTCCCATAGATGATCTCTAAATTAATATTGATATTTTCGAGATAAATAGAAAACAAATAATTGAATTGTGATATTTGCATCAGCGATAGCTCCAAGGGTTCCAAAATTTTCGAATCTAGCAAAAAAAATTAAAATTGTCTGCAAAAAAGGTTGAACTGACTTTTTTTGGTTACACAAGCAAACGCATGTGCAAAAAAGCTATCGGAATTTTTGACTGATGAATTTTCTTAAGCGAGCTATCGCTGAGTATCCTGCCCAATTTGGGTGTATATTTTTGTGCCGATGACTTTGTATCAATGATAAAGAATTTTGTATGGTTCTTTTTACCGCCGCGTCATAACGAATATTTTGTCCGCCGCTGGTGCATGCATTATTTGCTGCTTTTCATGTCATGTTTTGTCCAAGGTTACATTTATTTTGCCCTAAATTCAGATAAATTATTCTATTGCAATTTCTAAACTATTCATTTTTTAGTTTGTATTAAAATTAAATTAGATTGCAAACAAGAATGCTAAATTTATTATTGCCGATGTTTGTTATAAAGATAGCCATATATATAAATTTGTGTTTTCCTTCAACTTCAAATTAAATGTTTTTCCCTAGTTTTGTTTCGCTTTAACAAAATATATTTTTTTTATCAGCGAGACAAGTTGATTTGTCTCATAAAAATTGCCGAATATTTCTAAGAACCGCTGTTGATAATTTATAAATTTGAAATCAATGAGCAAATTAAGTAACCTGTCGTCAAACTAAAATTTCCGTTTTGCCTAACTTGCCAAAAATGAAAACAAAGTTCTTCTTTTGACGTAGCGTCGTAAATTCTACGCAAGTAGCTTGTGTTCAAATATCAGTTCACTTCTTTTTTCAACCATAATAGCAACCTTTTGTGTGTGAATTAGCGTAGTGGAGACACTTATATAGGTCGTGTTGATTTTTCATCAATTATCAGTGTAAGTGCTGATATAAGGGGAACAAACCCACAATCGAACTGCAATGTGTAAATTGTGTAACAAGCTGCAGTGTAAATCGAGCGAAAAATATATCTTTTGATCTAATTTTCAATAATTGGGTCAATGTAAAAAATTTCAATCATAAATGTGTTTAAGAGTAATGAATGTAGTGAACACTCGTATTTAGGTCTTGCTGATTTTTTCTTTTTTCAGGAAAAGTCTTAATAACTACAGATGTGCATTCATACAGATTTATGTATTTATGAATGCACTTAAGATAAACGCACTTTTTGAGTTCAAATGAGTTCATCCTGCTGAAAGTGAGGTAAAAAGCACTCTCTAAAAACAAACGTGATAATAGCGTTCGTTTTTTGCGCTATTATCACGTTTGTTTTTAGAGAGTGCTATTTACGTCACTTTCAGCAGATGAACTCATTTGAACTCAAAAAGTGAGTCTCGAAAGTGGAATTTATTTTTTTGATTTTTAGCTGGATAAAAACTTTACCTGTTGATCCAGTTTTCTCAAGTTTGGTTATTGTTATCAAAAAAGCCCCAATCACAAATCGTTTAAAAATTCAAAGAGCTTGTAGGGCATCTATTTTCTTATTTGAAACTCGAAAGTTGAGATTTTTTCAACAAAGTCGAGTGTTTTTTTTAATGTTTACTTGCGTTCAATACTCTTCCAATCTTCAATTGGATATATTTGAAATGTTGTTGGGTATGTTTATGATTACAAGCGGCTTTACATTGTAGATTAATAGTTCTGTGATTTATATTTTTTTTTCATTAAAGGTTTCAAAATTCTGTCATTTTTGGCTCGGCGTATTTGAGTATTTTGACACTGCTTGTTGGTTGTTTGTTCCGATCATTGAAAAGGGGGAGGAACTTTGTATTCGGGTGTGTTTCAGTTTTTTCCACGCAAAACCGAATAATGTGATGTTAAATTTTTTTGGTTAAAAGATAAAATACTTTCGAAAGCTATATTTGGCACTTCCCTGGCAAGAAAAATTTCGAAAAGTTTTTTGAAAAAATTTTCAGAAAAAATATTAATTTATATATTTGTAATTTTAATGAGTATGGTCAGAAGATTCTGTGCTACTTGCTCAGCAACCGGCTATCCTAGCTTTAATTTGGCCTTTCTTCTTTTGATTTTGATAGCTTTTGCCGTTTTTCTGCTATTGTACAGAGTGCTTTTTTACCTAATGTAAATATATAGTGCACGAGGCTTTGTATTGATATAGAGTGAAGAAATGTTAAGTTTTTGGTTGATGTACTATGGTAAGATAGTTAAAACATTGATTCGGCGGAAGGTTTTTGGCGCAAAATTTTTGGCTTCTATATATAGCTTTTTGGTCCGAACATTGAACCACATTAAACATTAAAAACTCAAAATTTTTTCTAGTGTCGAGAAAACTTGTTTGAATTTTCTAATTTTTCGTCTTAATTCGAGCGAATAAAGCAAGCAAGCAGGCTTACAACAGCTGAGTTATTCCTTATTTAAGAAGTTAAAACTTAAATTTAAGCAAATAAAACCTTTTTTTGGAGTTTTTTTAGCTTCATTTTGCGAACGAAAAGCTTCAAAACTTTATGCAAAAAAAAAAGTTTTTTTTTTGTTTTTTTTTCCATTTTTCTACAAAGGTTTTGCGCGCTCTCCCTACAATACTATGACTGTTTAATACGCCTAAAATTACATTTGCGTCCGATCCTTTCATCATACCAAGCAAAAAAACTACACTAGTTTGGAGTTTTCTGCAGACTATGGTCGGAACATTCTTTGCTACTTGCTCAGTAACCGGCTATCCTTGCTATAAATAGCTTCTTCTAAAATATGAAGTCGGCTAAATCAACTTTTCTGTCCTTGCACTTCTACCATTAGTGTCTGTGATAAAAGTCTTGCAATTTGGAAAGCCATGACAGTTTCTTTTGAATCGCTTCGCCACATGAATTTCAACCTGATTTTAAGCAGCTTATTAAAAATATTGCTGTTCTGTTGTAAAAGAATACAAATGAGAAGCATGGAAATTTGGGTTGGCGACTCAAAATGTAAACGAGAGTTTATGAATGGCGACGAAAATTTGTCCGCCGCTGGTGCATGCATTATTTGCTGCTTTTCATGTCATGTTTTGTCCAAGGTTACATTTATTTTGCCCTAAATTCAGATAAATTATTCTATTGCAATTTCTAAACTATTCATTTTTTAGTTTGTATTAAAATTAAATTAGATTGCAAATAAGAATGCTAAATTTATTATTGCCGATGTTTGTTGTAAAGATAGCCATATATATAAGTTTGTGTTTTCCTTCAACTTCAAATTAAAAGTTCTTCCCTAGTTTTTTTTTCTTTTTACCAAAATATAATTTTTTTGTCAGCGAGACAAGTTGATGTGTCTCATAAAAATTGCCGAATATTTCTAAGAACCGCTGTTGATAATTTATAAATTTGAATTGAATGAGCAAATTAAGTAACCTGTCGTCAAAATAAAATTTCCGTTTTGCCTAACTTGTCAAAAATGAAAACAAAGTTTTTCTTTTGACGTAGCGTCGTAAATTCTACGCAAGTAGCTTTTGTTCAAATATCAGTTCACTTCTTTTTTCAACGATAATAGCAACCTTTTGTGTGTGAATTAGCGTAGTGGAGACACTTATAAAGGTCGTGTTGATTTTTCATCAATTATCAGTGTAAGTGCTGATATAAGGGGAACAAACCCACAATTGAACTGCAATGTGTAAATTGTGTAACAAGCTGCAAGGCAAATCGAGCAAAAAATATATCTTTTGATCTAATTTTCACAGTTGCCCTCAGAACTTTGGCACTTGTTAAGACATAGACAACGTTTTGTTCCAATATTTTGAGCTCTGTGGTGTTTTTCAGTGGGTCTAACTCATGTGGCTGAAAAGTTTTGTGATAAAGACCAATGATAGAACGTTTCCGTTTTCACGTGATTAATGTAACCATGATAAAATGCGTGGATTGAAAACAACAAAATTGTTTCACAAGTTGTGAACAAAAGGCATTATTTCACGCGGCTGTTTCATCGGAGTTCATTTTCTTCAATTTAGCAAAAAAATATGTTTTCAACTGGATATTTGATGATATAAACCGTTCGTCCCGCTGTATCAAACACGTTGAATAGATTGCGTTTCAGAATACGCATTATTTACGAAAAAAACCTTGTGATATTTATTTGACTTGGTAAATCCGCTTCGTCGTTGTTCTCAATAGAGTTTGATAAATATAGCACAGCTTGATGTACAATTTTTGGTCGCCTCAGGCAACCGAATATTAGAGTTTAATAATAAGACACTCACGGTTATCAAAAACATAGTTTAATTTGTGAGTTCACTCGTCATAAAGCAAATTGATCTTTTGCAGGTGTTACAAAACAGACAGTGGATCACAACCTGATTAACTTTGAGACACAAGGTGTTGCAGCGAAATCAGAAGCAGTGGCCGAGAACGGACCAGTCGCCACTTCGGCATCGGCAGGAGAGGGCGGCGAAGGTGGGGGAGGGGGCGGGGACTTAGCGGCATTGATAGGTGGGGGCGAAACGGTG